CCTAGAGTTGGATTCGACTGGCTTTCGAGCAAGGGAAACCTTGACCTTTACTAATCTTAATATCGGACTCCGCACGGCTCCAGGCTGCTGCTGAGTGGGGCTTCCTGTGCTAATGAGTGGCCGCACACGCACACACCGACAGCTGACTTGGGGTGACCTCACAGGGTTCTGAAGGCAAGAGATGCTCGGAAGTGGCTTGCCCCATGGCCTGTCTGCCTCTGCGTGGCAACTCTGGACTTCCTTGGTGGCCCCCCCCCATCCAAATCCTGACCAGGACCAGCCCTGCTTAGTTCCCAAGATCTGACAGGATTGGGCCAGCCTGGGTCACACATCTTCCAGAGCAGGGGTGTCAAGCTCATTTGTTACGAGGGTCGGATCTGACATAAAGGAGACCTTGTTGTTGGGCCCCTGGGCCATGGTGCGTGTGTCATGAAATGGAATGCCAGGCAGCGGAGATATAAACTTTATAAAGGACACAAACACAAAGGGGTTTTTTACTTTAAAACATGCTTAAAACATGAGCACTCTTGCAACATTTTGTTTATTTAACAGTGCCTGATAACTAACACCTCTTGCTCTGAATTACTGCATCAAAATGCCTGTGCTGTTGCAATCTTGAGTATGCTGTTCAGGTGTGCAGGGGTCATTTCCTGCAGGAGCGCACAGGAGCGTAGCTCCAGCAGTAAAGAGCCCAGGGGGCAGGCACATGCAACAAGCCCCACCCCCTGCTCCCAGCAGCCCTCAGTCAGAGCAAGAAGCAGCCAGGTAAGTTGCAGAGCCCCCCCCCCAGTCCAAAACAGTCCAGTGGCACCTTTAAGACCAAGTTTTATTCAGGTACAAGCTCTCCCTCCTCTGCGAGGACAGATCTGCACATCCCCCCCAATAGCTAGCAATCCAAAACAGTCCAGTGGAGCCTGAGCGGTGGGTGTTGCCTTCTGACACACTTCTGGTGATGGCAGGGGGTGTGGCATATGCAAATGAGTTATGCTAATGAGTTATGCTAATGAGCTCCTGCACCTCTTTTTCTACGAAATGACCCCTGCAGGTGTGCATCTGTAAGCTGCAAACCTACGATGGCGCAGCAGAACTGGAAGAAGAAGCAGAAGACAGCCAGTTCCACTACGGGCCTGATAGAAGTCCTCCAGGGGCCTGATCCGGCCCCTGGGCCGCATGTTTGACACCCCTATTCTAGAGAGAGAAGAAGAAGAAGAGATTGGATTTATACCCCACCCTTCACTACCCAGAGTCTCAGAGTGGCTTACAATCTCCTTTCCCTTCCCCTCCCCACAACAGACAGACATCCTGGGAGGCAGGTGGGGCTGAGAGAGCTCTTTTGAGGACTGCTCATGAGAGAACAACTCTGAAAAAAGTTGTAACTGACCCAAGGTCACACCAACAGCTGCATGTGGAGGAGTGGGAAATCAAACCTGGGTCTCCCAGATTAGAGTCCGCGCTCCTAACCACTACACCAAACTAGCTTTCCTAGAGCAGAAGGCTGCAAGGCCAGGTCTTAGGAATGCAGGCATGGGTTACTCACAGGGTGAAGGAAGGTGTGTGATGTGTTTGTGTTGCTATGCATGCACGGGGGGGGGGATGCATGGGAGATGACAGAATGCAGGCAAATTGCATACGTATCGATGCACACTTGACTTGCTTGCAATTTCCTCTGTAGAATGACAAGCACAGATGTTTCTGAGGCCAAGCAGGTAATTTCTTCTGCAATCCTATGCAGAAATCAATGGGTTTAAAGTCGGTGCATAGGATTGCCCTGTACATGATAGAAGTAAGTCCCATGTTATTAAATGTGGCTTACTCCCAGGAAAGTGCTCTAAGGATTGTAGCCATAGATTATTAATGTGGTTGTGAATTAATGTAACTCAGAGTCCCTTTCAACCCCTGCTTTCTGTTTGGTCTAGTGGTTAAGTGTGCGGACTCTAATCTGGGAGAACCGGGTTTGATTCCCCACTCCTCCACTTGCACCTGCCGATGTGACCTTGAGTCAGTCACAAGCTCTGGCACAGCTGTTCCTGAAAGAGCAGTTTGTGTCAGAGCTCTCTCAGCCGCACCTACCTCACAGGGTGTCTGTTGTGGGGAGGGGAAGGGAAAGGAGTTTGTAAGCCACTCTGAGACTCCAAGTGAAGGGTATAAATCCAATCTCCTCCTCCTCCTCCTCCTCCTCTTCTTCTTCCATTCACAAACCACCATGAAAAATTTGTGATGAATTTTGCTCCATGGTTCAGTTTGTGCCCATCCCTAGTCATGTTTTTGTAACGTCCTTGCCAGTACTCATTCCCCATTCACACACCCATCCGTGCATGCTGGCTGTCCTGAACTCGGCTTGCATCCCATTCATACGTTCATGTATGAACCACATATCCCATTCGTATTTAATGTTTTAATTCCAGCGTTTGCCGCTTGTTGCCGCCCTGGGCCGTATGGGTAGGGCGGGATATAAATTCCATAATAAATAAATAAATAAATCATTCAGCACTCCCCTCCCTTATGCATTCATGGACAGCCTTAGATAACCCAGGTCCCGTGGCATACTTGGTGTATTTGACACCTGGAGTGGATTGTTTTTAACACCCCCGTCTCACCATGCCTCTTTCCTGTTCTCTTCTCCCACGTCACTCCTGGCTTGTGGCCTCCTGGTGAAAGTCCTGCCCACCCTGGCTCCATCCACCACTTCTGTCCACATGGCTTGGCAGCTCCAATATGGCGGCGCTTTGTGGGCCCCGGCTGCTGAGCCACCGCTGAAGATTCCCAGCCCCACCCTTCGCACGCCCCACCCAGGTCACTGTCAACACACAATGGGTATCCGTGAACAATTCAACATATGCAAAATATAGTATCGTTTGTGGAGTATCTTATTTGTCAACTTCTGTTTGAGGGATTCCTTTGACAGACCTTACTAATAGTGTCAAGGGAAGCCTGGTGGGCTGGGTGTGTGCATCTTAATGAACTGCTGCTTTGCTCATCCAAAGATAAGTCTGTGGGATGTGAAGCCCTTTTGCTCTTTGCCATCAGATGTCGCTGCCATTAGGAATCACCACTTAAGCTAGCCCTGCTGTTTTAGAAAGTAACCTAACATGAAAGAGCCAGGAAAACTTCCACAGGCTCAACCTGTACATGCCAGAAATCTGTTAAAGGTACAGGAAGAAGGAGGAGGAGGAGATTGGATTTATACCCCCCGCCCTTCACTCAGAGTCTCTGAGCGGCTTACAAACTCCTTTCCCTTCCCCTCCCCACAACAGACACCCTGTGAGGTAGGTGGGACTGAGAGAGCTCTGACAGAAATTGCTCTTTTTCAAGAACTGCTCTTATCAGAACTATGGCTTGTCCAAGGTCATCCAGCCAGGTGCAAGTGGAGGAGGAGTGGGGAATCAAACCCGGTCCTCCCAGATTAGAGTCCGTGCATGTAATGTATCCATCTCCGACCGCGTGCGAGGCTTGGTCTCCACGCAGTCATGCGAAGCGACCGAGCTTCACTCCCAGGAACAAGGGGCCAAGAGGATCTAAACTGGGGGACTGAAACGTGCAGGTGGCAGGAGCGTGCAGGCAACGTCAGTCCCACCCTGCGGACCTCTGTCCCGCAGAGGGTCTGGGCGAGGGGAGATCCACCCAGAGGAGTGTCCAAGGGAGGGCAACCCCCCGCCCTGCAGAGCATCCTAGCCAGGGGAGCTGTACCCTGTGGAACCTCCAGAGAGAAAGAGAAACTGAACTCTGCCCTGTCCTCCACCTCATCTTGGTTTGTTTTCAGCTCTTTCCTTCCAGATGAGATACAAGACTGAACTGAGACAGGCTGAAGGAACAGGGATAAAAGCAACAGAATGCAGCAATTCAAGGCTAGGAGGGGGAGGGGGAGGTGGTCCCCCATGCCCATTTTGTTTTTTAAAGAATCCTTCCCCTTTTCAAATGTGGGTGGGCGGGCACACACACAAGTGCATTTGGATCCCCCTCCGTGATCAGTTTGACCACACTGATTCAGATCTCCATAGGCACATATCGTTTGAAAGCACTCCCTTTTTTCTAGCACTTTGTTGCCAGGAAAGGGCAATGTTAAGTCAACTACTTAACAAAGAGTCCGAGAGTGATTTCAGCAAGTGATTCAGCTTTAATGGACAATACTTAACACAACCAGAACAGAACAACCAGAACAACATTAGCACCGCAGTTGTGCTTCTTTTAAACTCTCCCGGCTAATGTAGCCACACCCTACTGTACATAACAGCCAATAGGATTGTAAGAATAATGTCCAATCACAGACGTTCCCTCTCAGGGAACTGGATGGTAGGTGATTGGTCAGCTCTTCCTGGGCTACCAATAGCCAGAGGAATACGTTTCCCTTGAAAATCAGATACCCGTGTGTCCGCTGGCTTCAGCCGCCGCCGACTGGGTTGGAAACAGCCGCTGCCACGTTGTTGATGAGATCACCGTGACTAATGATCCTGAGTCGACCTCCATGCTGCACAGGACGCTGTCTAGGTGGAGGATGATGTGGATCTTACTCTGACAGCCGGTGCGAAGGACAGTCTATGCGCACGACAGGCTAGTTGTCATCTGACAGCTGGCTTCCTTCACTGTTGCTTGGGATCGCTGGTTCCTGGCAAAGATTTCTTCTGCGGTCTGCAGACTCGTGCTCGACGGCTCCACCTTCCACACACTCAGCACACAATGTCTTTGGCCCAACACTGCTCGCGAAGGTGGCTCCTGCCACAACTGGCGCACGTTTGGCTGGATGCAGACTTCACTCTGGTCCGCTGGTCTGCTCCCGCCTTTACCGCGTAGAGGTCATCTCCCGCATCCTCGCTCTCGTTGCTGGAACCTTGGTGGTGAACATGCTGTTCTGTCAGCACCAGCTGCTGATGGACCTCTTTGGTCGACTTGTTGACTGCCTCTGCGGCGATGGCCTCAGAGTATGCGACAGCCCAAGTCAAAGTGGTGCGGGCGAACAAACGCTGTTGCGGCCTCTCATCCCTCATGCCACACACCAACCGGTCTCAAAGGGCCTCATCGATGTTCGCGAAGTTGCATGGACGCGCAGCATTGCGCAAAGCCGCCACGTATTCCGCTACCGACTCGTTTGCCGCCTGGCTCCGCTTGCAAAAAGCGTGCCGGCAGGCAATCTCTGAAGACTGGGGTGAGAAGTGGGCTTCTCCGTGATGTCCTTGAATGACACCATATTGATGTCTGCTGGGGAGACCAACGACCGGGCAGTATCGAAGACGCTCTTGCCACAAGAGTTCAGGAGGGTGGCCCGCTTCTTCGCCTCCGTCGTGATGTCATTTGCCTTGAGGTGGAACTCGAACCGCGTCAGGTAGGCGTCCCAGTCCTCTGTTGTGGGTTCGAATGCTTCGAACTTCTGGCTGTTGGCCATCACGGCAGGTGCTTCCACCTGGTGGTGCCTGCGGTTGATCGGCCACGGCGCGATGCTCGTCTCTGACCGTCGTGGGATTGATTTAAGTGGGGCTGCCTACCCGCTCTAGAATCCCACCTTCATCGCCAATTGTTAAGTCGACTACTTAACAAAGAGTCCGAGAGTGATTTCAGCAAGTGATTCAGCTTTAATGAACAATACTTAACGCAACCAGAACAGAACAACCAGAACAACATTAGCACTGCAGTTGTGCTTCTTTTAAACTCTCCCGGCTAATGTAGCCACGCCCTACTGTACATAACAACCAATAGGATTGTAAGAATAATGTCCAATCACAGACGTTCCCTCTCAGGGAACTGGATGGTAGGTGATTGGTCAGCTCTTCTTGGGCTACCAATAGGAATTGAGTGATTAGGATCCTTGCCCAGGATGAAGCTTTACATGGTGTTTCAATGAGTGAGGTCATACACAGTTTTTCATTGAATTGAATACACCACTGGCAATTCCTAATCTTTACAAAGTAGACGGGGAAACTGCATTTCAACCTAGCATTCGGCATAGATCTTAAAAGAATTTGGTGGCTCTCCCCACATCTCACTGTATTTGCTGGTGTAGTTCCAAACATGATTTGCTGAGTTTCAGGGTCAACAACAGAATCTGTAACCGTTTCTTCAGCACACTCTGTGGTATTGATAACAGCAGGATTGAGTTTACCCTGGTCAGGCTACATTATCCAAACGTGACAGAAAGATACACCTAGGCCAGGGTTTTCACCTTGGCTATATAGACTGAGCTGAGTGTTAGTTTGGTCTCCTTAAGTGGGAAATGGGTACGCAACTTTCTATTAGGGATGCCAGCCTCCAGGTGGGACTTGGGGGCAGTGTTCCCTCTAAGCTGAGTTAGTGTGAGCTAGCTCACAGTTTCTTAGCCTCCGGCTCACACATTTCCGTCTCAGCTCAGGAAGGATGGCTCCAGAGCAAGCTAATTCATGCAGTAGCCAAATTGTTCGCTCACAACTTTAATGCCAGCAGCTCACAAAGTAGAATTTTTGCTCACAAGACTCCACAGCTTAGAGGGAACATTGCTTGGGGGTCCCCAGGAATTACAGCTCATCTCCAGACTGCAGAGATCAGTTCCCATGGAGGAAACGGGTGCTTTAGAGGGTGGACTGTATGGCATTGTCCTGCTCTGAGGTCCTCGTCCGCCCCAGGCTCCATCGTCAAATCTCCAGGAGTTTCCCAGCCTGGATCTGGCAACCGAATGCCCCACAATCCCCTGCTGGTGGCCAAGGGGACCTGGCATCCCTATGACTGGAGGTTAGATCTAGCCAAGCTGCATCTTCACTTTCCTTAGCAGAGGAATGTTTCAAAAAAACTGGCCATAGCAGAACTGAACTAGGGCTTGAGTGTTCAGTTTGGACCATGTAGGGTCAACAAAGTTGGCCTTTAAGGAAACTCTCTTTTATTGCCCTCATAACAGTGCCAGTTTTTCGTAACAATGTCAGCCATGTAGCATATTAGCACATTGTTAAGATTTCCCCAAGCTGGCCTGTCTTTGAAAGAAGTAAGATGACTTGGCTAGCGTGTGCAAGGTTTCAAGTTTCCACTCCCAGCTTTCAAGCAGCTGGAAAACACAGCTAGGAGGCTAGCTTGATTTTTAGTGTGGAAGGCTTTGTCTCAGTGGCCACTGGGCACCATCTTCCTGCTCTCGCAAGACACTCACAAAACCCTCCTTTTTGTACTTCTAGTTGTACAGTGTTGTCTACTGGGCTGTTTCATCTTCCTCAACATTTTCCTCATCCTCATTGGAGGCGGTCAAGAATTCATATATGACCGCACAGACTCCCAAAAGCCAGGCCAATACTGTGCCCGCTGAGAAGATGCAGAAGCCAATCAGGCCCAGGAACAGATAATCTTGGTCGTCAAAATGGATGTAGCACTTGTAGTGGAGCTGTTCTGGGCCCTCTTCCAGCATTCTCAAGCCATGCATGAACGCTGGACTGTAGCAGGTGGTGTTGTCTTCATCTGTGGAAACACAGGGATGAAAACAAGCCTTGGCTTGTATTTAAAGACATATCGATCCATCTACAAATGGTTGTACACTGCCTCATCATCCCTCATTCTTTTCGTCTGGTTCGTAACTTAGCCTCCCTTATTGGTTTGCTTGTAAGGGCTAGACTAGACATTATGGCATCTATGGGTACCCTCTACACTGCATGCCCCTTTCACTTTCTTGGATCATCGGGCTTTATGGTGACTTTGCCGTCAGTGCAGTGTTGCCCCCTGGGGGTATCTGGATGTGGTTTTGAGCGGCACCTTTTCTTCACTGTAGAGAAAGTGTGGAGCGAATGCCAGGTGCGGAATCGCCCTATAAAGTCCGATGTTCAAAGAAAGTGACAGCAGCAGGCAATGCAGAGGGGAATCCCGATTCCAGCGCAGAATCATCCTGTGTGTACTGGCAAAATCCAGTTGGAAAGGGGATTGAAAGTGGATTACTTAGTGTGTGTGACTGCAGCTCTTAAGACCAGGGCAAAACAGCATCCAAATAACCCAGGGCAACAGCAGGCTGAAACCAGGCTGGCCACTGAAGGGAGGTCATGTGATGCAGAACGGGGGATAATCCCAGAATAAAAAGAAGGCCGAATTTGACTTTCGTGCAAAATGGGGGGGAGGGGCTGGATTAAAAAGAAGGCTGAACTCGGTTTCAGTGCAGAATTGCTTGGAGGACACGGCAGTGAACATGGATTAAAAGCAGAGGGCAGGGAGGGCCTTTGTTGCAGCCGGCGGTGCCAATCTGAATCAAGGCTGCAGGAGCAGGAACGGAGCAGCAAAGCTCCCATCGGATCCCGGACCCAACCTTGCCTACTTTGTAATGTATGAAGCCGCCTGAAGAATCCACTCACGTAAAGCGGGCAGGGATGTTCAAGCTGAGCCCCCACGTTATCGATGCCGTCTTGTGTCAGCAACTGACACGGTAGAAGGCGCTTCTTATTTCGCTCCCAAGAGGAAACAGGAGCTCTGCCACCTGATAAGGTTACACCGAGCATTAAAGTTTCACCACGGTTCTCACAAAAGGCCCCCAGAGGAACGGCAAAATGATGTGTCTTTCTCACGCTCAACGTGTTGCAAAGCTACAAGGGAAGAGGTGAGAAGCAGAGAAGCCTTGGCGAGCCCGCCCTTCCTTTCACCTCTTCACCTCCCATTCATCCCTGGCCATGGCCCCGGGAGAGAAATCAGAACCGTCCTGCAATGTAGGTTGCTTTGTGTGGGGAGTCGTGACGTGTATTCATTTCCAAATGAAGGGAAAGAACAATTAAAAGGCCGATGCATTCATTTGTGCAATGGGCATGAAGAGGCGGCGGGAGTGGGGGTGGGGGGATGTCCTTTGTGTCAGGTTCAAATCTCCACTCTGCCACGGAAGCCCAGAGGTAACCTTGGTCCCATCATACTCTCTCAGCACAACCTACCTCATAGGGTTGTTGTGAGAATAAAATGGAGGTGTATGGAATAATGTATGATGCTCTAAGCTCCTTGGATAAAGGGCAAGATTAAAATCAACCAACTAATCAAACTGCCACGCACCCACCCATTGCCTAAGAGACTTAGACTCATAGAATCCTGGAGTTGGAAGGAACCCACACAGGGTCATCTAGTCCAGCCCCCTTGCACAATGCAGGAAATGCACAAATACCTCCCCCCAGTGACCCCTGCTCCTTGCCCAGAAGATGGCAAAAAACCCTCCAGGATCCCTGGCCAGACTGGCCTGGAGAGAAATTGCTTCCTGACTCCAAAGTGGCGATCAGCATTTCCCTGGGCACGTAAGAGAGGGCCACAAGTACTAAGCAGTGATGCAGCCCCTTCCTGCCCTCCCTCTCGTGATCTGCCCAAGTTCACAGAATCAGCCTTGCTGTCAGATGGCCATCTAGCCTCCGATTAAAAACCTCCAAAGAAGGAGAGCCCTCACTATTCCAGCAATGTGGAAACATGGTAAGGGTTCCAAGAAACCAATGTGGATGAACCGAGAGCTTCAGAATAAGCTAAGGGAGAAAAGGGAAATGTTCAGGACATGGTGGGGTCAGACCTCTAAAGAGGAGTATATGAGGGTTACCAGGTACTGCAGATCAGCCATCAGGGAAACCAAAGCCCAGTATGAGTTGGGTCTGGCCAGGGGGGCTACCTGCAATAAGAAAAACTTCTACAGGTATGTGAGAAGCAAACGCAAGGTAAAAGAGGCAATTGGACTGCTATGTTGTGCCATTAAGAGCAGAGGAATGTTTCAGCTCCAGCAATGAAGGCTGTACCATTTGTCCCTTGATGATCTATGTTTTGTTGCGATGCCAATAAAGGTAGCTGATGATGAGACGAGACTGCTTTGGGGAGTAGAAGGAGAAACTCCGGTGGAGGACAGAGAAAAAGCAGACAGGCTTAATGACTTTGCCTCTGTTTTCTCCCAGAAGAACTCGAGCCCATCTAGAGATGGTATAGGACTTAACAGGACACCTGAGTGCCCAGTTGACAGTGACAGGGAGGTTGTGGAGGGGCACCTGACTGCACTGGACGAATACAAATCCCCTGGGCCAGATGGTGTGCACCCAAGACCTGGGAAACTACAGGCCGGTCAGTCTGACTTCTGTTGCTGGGAAGATATTAGAGCAGATTTTAAAGGGATCGGTCTGTAAGCATCTGAAGGACCACTTAGTGATCCGGGGAAGTCAGCATGGTTTTGTCCGCAACAGATCTTGTCAGACCAACCTGGTTTCCTTCTTTGATTGTGTGATGAGTTTACTGGATCGTGGGAACTCTGTTGATGTGATTTACCTGGATTTCAGTAAAGCTTTTGATAAGGTTCTCCATGACATTCTGATGGGCAAACTGGAAGACTGTGGACTGGACTATAGGACAGTTTGGTGGATAGGGAACTGGTTAGAGGACCACACCCAAAGAGCGGTGTGGTCAATGGCATTTCATCAGATTGGAGGTGTCCACTCCCACGAGCTGGTCAGCCCCTCCTGTCGCACCATCCGTCATGGTGAGGACGAGTGGGTGTGATGGGTGCTGGCAATCTGTCACGGTAGAGCCAGGGAGGCAGGTAGGCAGACAGGGGGAGTCACAATACAAGTCCAAAGGTCAGCCGGGAGAGCAGTCAGCAGAGCATTAAACAAGTCCCAAAACACCAGACAAAGCCGTAGTCAAACGTTACCAGAGGTCAGAGTACAGGGAGCAAAGCCGAGGGCGTGGTCAGGTTCAAAGCTGGAAGTCAGGAGCCAGAGGAGTCCAAACACAAGCCAAGTCCAAAAGCCACAGAGTGAAACAGGAATCAAGGTGCAGAGCTTCTGGTTCTACGAACGAGGTTGCCAGCACAAATTGCTCATGGCCAGAGGCCCTACTAAATAGTGCTCTGGCCCATTAACCCATTAGCACCTTTGTGCAAGGTCCTGGCTGCTGTTAAAACTCAGGGCTCAAGGATCTCCGCCCTCTTGAACGTGCTTCTTTTCGTCGGCTAGGCAGCTCCTTACGTCTCTGATCCCTAAGCCTACTTACAGGTGGGGGAGATGCAGGTGGTGAACTGCTTATGGCCTGCTCAATCCCAGGTGCAAACCGTCCTGTAGTTGACTCAGATTGCTCTGTATCCTCCTCAGTACTTACAGTAGGTGCAGATCCTGATTCTTCTTCAGCTCTTAAAGGCACTGAATCCTCCCCTCTTAGGCTGTCAGGAGCTGGCTCTGGGGCTGAGTCAAGGGCAGGCATGACACTCCGTCTTGCAAGCCCTGCAGAACTGCATAAGGTCCTGCAGGGCCCTGATCTCCTCCAGGAGCTCATCCCACCAGGTAGGGGCCACCACTGAAAAGGATCTGGCCCTGGTCACAGCAAGCTTTGCCTCCTGGGGGCCTGGAATCACCAGGCGGTGTTGTGTCCCCGACTGAAGTGCTCTTGGGGGTATATGTGGGGAAAGTCCCTTAGGTAAGTCGGACCCTGGCCATCTAGGGCTTTAAAGAGCCAGTTTGGTGTAGTGGTTAAGTGCGCAGACTCTAATCTGGGAGAACCGGGTTTGATTCCCCACTCCTCCACTTGCACCTGCTGATGTGACCTTGGGTCAGTCACAAGCTTTGGCACAGCTGTCCTTGAAAAAGAGCAGTTTCTGTCAGAGTTCTCTCAGCCCCACCCCCCTCACAGGGTGTTTGCTGTGGGGAGGGGAGGGGAAAGGAGTTTGTAAGCCGCTCTGAGACTCCAAGTGAAGGGCGGGGTATAAATCCAATCTCTTCTTCTTCTCTCTCTAAAGGTAAGTACCAGCACTTTGAAGCGGATTCGGTATGCTATTGGCAGCCAGTGCAGCGCTTTCAGCCCAGGCCAAATGTGCTCCAACTTGGGGAGACCCATCAGCACTAGCTGCAGCTTCCGGATCTGTGACAAAGGCAACCCCATGTAGAGAGCATTATAGTAGTCTAACCTTGAGGTGACAGTCGCATGGATCACTTTAACCAGGTCATCGCAGTCGAGGAAGGGAACCAACTGCCGAACTTGCCTAAGATGGCAAAATGCAGATCTGGCAGTGGCTGCCACCTGGGCCTCCATAGTTAGGGAGGGATCCAGGATCCATTCAGACAATGAGGTTTTCTACTCACGGAACAATAGGGAATATTTGCCACCAAACAGCTGCTGTGGCCAGAGCAGGCCTGTAGCCACGGGGGGCATTTGGGGGCAATGTCCCCCACTGATGAGTGCCGCCCCTTGGACAAAAAAATCCATGAAAATTTTTTAAAGATGTAAGATGCATGTGGCAGGTCCAAAATGACCCCAGAGGCAGTCAGGGAAGCTTCAGTCTCATTTTCTTTTTTTCGGGCCAAAAAATAAATAGGTTTTAAAAAATGTATATAAAATAAAATAAAATTGCAAAATGCAAAAGAGAGAGAGTCGGAGATCCCCCTTCCTCCTCCCCGGCTTACACAGAAAAGCAGCCCAGAATCGAGTCTCTCCGATCGAAAGGACTGGAGGACGAGAGGAGGACTGGAGGTCGCAGCGGAGCCGGAGCTGCTGCTGTTACTGCTGGAGGCTAAAGAACTGTGAGCTGGCTCACACTGACTCAGCTCAGCGGGAACACTGGCTGCCTCCTGTGGCAGACTGTTCCACTGATGCCCTCCCCTGGAAAGTTCTCCACTGCAAAGGCCCTTTTAATGGGACAGGAGCCAGACAAGCCTAGCAGTGGCGCAGTAGCACAGGAGGTCCCCCGTAGGGCACCTTAAAGACTAACAGCCTTTATTCCAGCATAAACTTTCACAGATCAGAGATCATGTCATTACATGCACTGGTGCCCACCTCTGTTAAGTTGATGTTTTTTATGTTCACAACAGAAGGGGTAGGAGGAGATGTTACCCCGAAAGTCCAATTTAGAACAGGATCTAAATCAAAAGAGTAGGAGGTTCACTCAGAGTGGGTGAGGGCAACCCACAGGTAGGTGAAGTAGGATTAACACAAAATCTAGTGGAAGGTAAACAGATACAATAGTAAGTTATAGAAAGGTAAGCAAGCTATTAGCACATAGAGTGAGTGAGGAAGACCTGGGGAGTAAATAATCTTGAACTTGTTAATGAATTCTAATTCAGCCATTTCACACTGGATTCCCCCTTTGAAGTTGCCTTCTCTGAGAACAAACAAGCCTAGCAGTAGTAGCTGCCATTGGGTTTTTCTAACCTCTGGCACCAAAATCTCTGACCAGGTCCAGTATATGTGTGCTATGTGTGCATGCAAAGGATGTCAGATAGGATCCACGGTACTTTTTATTAGACCATCAGTGACATTGAGAGGGTTTGGGTCTTGTGGGCTCCTATCCACCTTTTAAAAAAAAATTCCAATTCAACAGTCTTGTCCTTTATAGGAAAGGGTGGGTGAGGCGGGAGACATGCCCCAAATACTCACCTAGAAAAGTTACTCCGCTCTCTTTCATCCAGTTGAAGAGTTCCACAAAGGAGCAGTTACAAAACCAGGGATTCCCACCTAAGCCTAGGCTTCTCAAGTTGGGCAGGTCCCGGACAGTGCTCGTGTCTATGAACGCCAGGCCGCAGCGGCTGACATCCAGGTGCCTCAGCCAGGTGTTGTTGGCAAAGGAGTCCTTCTCGATCTCTACCAGGCTGGGGTTGTCTGAGAGCTTCAGCACTACCAGGCTACTGAGCTGGGAAAAGGTGCCAAACGTGACTTGTGTGAGGTTGTTGAAGCTGAGGTCCAAATAGACCAGCTTGATGATGCTGACAAAGGTGAAGTCCAAGTCCTCCCCGAGCGCATTGCCACGGCAGTCCAGGTAGATCAAGTCACCGAGGAAGTTGAGCTCCACTGATGGCAAATGGCTGAGTTTGTTTTGCGCCAGAATCAGCTGCCGGGTGTCCAGGGGGATGGTGGATGGAAACTCCTCCAGCTGTTTCCCTGTGCAGTTCACGGCCAGATACTGGCAAGTGCATTCCTTTGGGCAGCTCACGCATCCCACCGCACAGCCAATTCCCACCAGAAGCACCATCCACATGCCCTTGGAGCTCTTTGAAGGAGGCAGGACGTGGCCCACCCAGCAGCTGCAGCAGCAGCACACCTTCTCCCCTGCAGTTTGCTGTGCTTCGTGTAATTCTGGGAGAGCAGCCATTTCCCCCCGTCACTCGCCCCGAGGGGAGTTGAGGTTCTCAGTTTCCTAGGAGGCTCTTTGCTCACCGAGACCTCTGGTGAACTGTCAGTGAAAGCATCTGGGGCGGAGAGAAAGCTCATCTGCCGGGAAATGCAGAGTAGCCGCAGGCTGCTAGAAGCCTCTCCGTGTCATGCTGTCAGTTGACACCTTGGTGACGTCCCCGGGTTACTCACAAGTGGACATGGCTCTGGCACTACCTCTGCATCTATTCAGGTGTGCCTCTGGACTTGAGGTGTCTTTGTGGTTGGCACACGTGCCCACTGTGCCGTTTCCAGATAACTGGATGTATTTTGGAGAGCGCGGGGAGGAGAGAAAAGCCCACTAGCAGCCGTTGAATCGGGTCTGGGTTGAGTTTGTTTCTCCTCTGCTTGCAGGTATGGAAGCCTGAACTGGGCCAGCATTGCAGGCCCTGTGGCATGAGCATGGGGCGACCCAGGATATGGATTTGCATATTCTCTGTTGGTTTACACTGTTTCTTAATGGCCTGTTAGTGTTTTTTAAGCTGCTTTGGGTCCCCCTTGGGGAGAAAAGTGGGATTTAAATGCCTAAACAAATAGTAAAAAACTGTTTTCATAGAGATTCATAGAGCAGGCAAGCTTTGTGAGAGGGAACTTGACTTGCATTTTGCCACAGAAAACTGTGTCCTGTACATACAATACCATTTATCATTCATTCACTCAATTTATACTACCTTGACCTGGATGGCTAGCCCAACCTTGTCAGTTCTCTGAAGCCAAGCAGGGTCCGCCCTGGCCAGTCCTTGGATGGGAGGTCGCCAAGGAAGTCAAGGGACGTTGTGCGGAGGCAGGGGAGGGCAAACCGCCACTGCTTGCCTCCAGCCTTGAAAACCCCATGAGGGGTCAACACAAGTTGGCTGTGACCTGGTGGCCCCTTCCACCACCGCGCGTACTAAACGACTGCATCAGAATGAAGGCCAGGGAAGAACTCTCTCCGTTGCCTAGTTTTCTGCATGCGGGGGGTTATTTTTGTAATGTTGACCCTTTTCCCATCATGCAATCTTATCTGGAGAGAGTCAGAAATTCTGCTGCCTGCTGCCTGAGAACCCATTCCTGGGAGCGTGCCCTGCTGAATAAAGTGGTTTTCTGGGCAGGCCTGCTTAGGAGTGCTCCTGTGATCATCTGGTCTGCTGTCTGTGTGAACCAGGACACACAAGCTTAGACAAGGGGGGTACTGAAATCATTCCAACAGTTATAGGGTTGCCAAGTGTACTCACCCTTTGGAGCGGGGGAGCCTCGCCGAGGTCCGGGAGCTCTTGCAGGACGCGCGCACGAAGCTCGCGCGCCGGCAGCACATCACAGGAAGTGACATGCTGCGTCGCTCACGTTGGGGGCGTGGCCCAGATCGTAGGGGGGGGGAAACCATATGGTTCACAACAGAAGCCAACGTGAGCGACGTGCCTGCGTCACCTCTGGTGACGCAGCTTCGGGGGCAGAGTTCCCCCCGAGGCCCGATTCCACCGCGGCAGAAACTGGGCCTCCAAAGCGGGGGATTCCCCACCCACCCCGCCCCCACTTGGCAGCCCTAAACAGTAATATTGCAGTCTTAACTTTAAGGATATATACATCAATAATGTCAGTTTCTTTCTACTAACATGAAAAATTCTCAAACACTTGACTTAGAATAACTTCAACAGGGTATTACAGTTTTTTTTAACAATCATATTAAATTAGGTGGGGCAGTGTCCCTGCGGCAATAAGTCCTCCTTTCATGAGGTGGCGCTCTGGTGTCACAGTAGCTGAGGGTCACGGCTGCAGAATGTCCATTCATCCTTCCACTCAGATCTCTGGTGTCATGGCTGTGCTTCAGCTTTAGTGTGTTGACCGAGATATCACCCCATCATCCCATTCACCACTGTTTCCTCCTTCCCTGCCCCTTCTTTAGGGTTCCTTGGCTTCCCCTATTTAATGCATTTATTTTAGTTAAAACATCTGGGAGCCACCTTTCTGTGTGGTGGAACTAAAAAAAAAATTAAAAATTTTCGGGAGGCACATTTGTGGTGGAACTCAAGGCAGCTTAGAATGTAAGCAGGACATGATAAAAATAAGAATGATGAAACCCTACAGAGGTCAGAGATGAAAAGGCAGAGATCCCTACGGCACCGTCCCTTTTAGTCGCCTTCCCACTCTCCAGGCAACCCACCTCTGTTTCTTCCTCTGTCTTCAGCTTCTCCCCCTCCTTTCCTACCTGTCATGGCCTCCGCGTGAAGTCTGGCTACGCTCTGTGGCGGCCACCAGCTCAGGGCGGGTCCCAGCTGTGCAGCAGGCCAGACCGAGGGCTCTGGAGCCACCGGTGCCAGGCCAGGCCAGGCCAAATCGTATCGGTGGCAAGTTCCCAGAAGTTGCTCCTGGGCACATCGTTGGGACATGATGGGGGGGGGGGGGGCTTTCCAGGGCTGTTTTGGCCCCCAGTCCACTCCTGCTCCCCCTCCCACAGCTGGGCTTTCCAGAAATCAAGGCTCAGAATGTTTGGCAGAACTGCTGCGGTTGCCAGGCAACCCCACCCCAGCAGCCACATAATCCAGTGAAGAAGGCCTGATTGGCCGGAAACTCGTTAGGCCACAGTAATTATTCCTTGTGTACTCTTCGTTCGTACTTGTTAACGAGGCTTTCATTGGGCCCTTGTATGTTAACTTTCCCCCAAATAAACACATGTATTTTTACTTACAATAAGTTTACAGCCCTGTCACCTGGGTGCCGGTAGGCAGCCCCACCCCTGTATACTATGTGGCCTTAGATAAGGAATTGTATTTGAAACTGCCTGTAAACCGCTCAGAGACCCTTTGGGGTCAGAGCGGTAAATAAATCAAATGAATAAATAAATAAATAAATAAATAAATAAATAAATAATATGAGGTTTTAACTATTGGCCCTACGGCAGTTTTTTTCAGGCCCCTAGCTACAGTAAGGCATTTTGGGGGGCCGGCCCCTTAATTAAAAGCCCAGCCCCACAAAAAGCCATGATCTAAGAGGGTCAAGCTAACAAACTATTATAAAAATAAAAATATTTATTATGGTGTACACATAAATAAACATACATAATACATACATAAGAAATAGTCCAAGTATCAGACTCTTAAAGCTTATTACATTCAGAGCAGATAGTTATACATGTCCAATTGGTGGGTAAAGCTTTTGACCAATAGACCATACACGCGTTTCAGCCCCTTAGGGCCCTCCTCAGTGGTCAGTATCCCTATTGTATAATAACACACATCCTGAAATAAATGTAGATATCCAAATATCCCCCTCCAGACTATCAGGATCAGTTCCCCTTGAGAAAGTGGCTGCTGTGGAGGGAGGGCTCTTAGGGTCCCCCCTCCCCAAACGTCATCCCCCCCAGGCTCTGACCCCCCCGCCAAATCTCCAGGTATTTCCCAACCTCCAGGTGGCACCGGGAGAGCTTCTGGAATTACAGCTCATCTCTAGATGACGGGGGTCACGATCCACTGGAGGTGCGGGCTGCTTCAGAGGGTGGGGGCCATGGCATTATCCTTGGCTGAGGCCCTTCCCTTCCCTAGACCCTAATCCCTCCCCAGGCACCCAGGAATCTCCTAGCTCAGAGTTGCCAAGTTGGGAGTGCTTCCCAGCACTGGGGGAGGGACTGGAGAGACCCTTTCCTGGCCCTGACACTGCACTTCTAAGCAGAGTTACACCCTTCAATGGGCTTAGAAGGGTGTAACTCTGCTTAGGGTCACCCTGACAGTATCTCAAATAAGGCCCGGCTCAAATGGAGCCTGGTAAAGGAGAGCCACATTTTGACAGCTGGGTGTCGTCAATTGCTTTCCCCTCCACTCCTGGTTCCAGATTATGGGTTGGATCTCAACCAGCTTTTCCATGGATGAAAAAATGAGGAAAGGGACCCTTCTGACCTCCCAAAAGACCATGCTGGGGACCATGGGACCGGCATGGAGAAAAGCCATTTAGGATGGGGGGGGAGGTAACTGTAATAAAGAGGCAAATTAGGTTCGATTGAGTGAAAAAGCTGGCTGGATCCAGCCCTCTTTTGTCAAAATGCTCCTATGGTGAAATAAGGAAACAGGATGAAACCTGGAAATTCTCCCACCTTCTGACAGCTAGGTAAATGTTAACTGGAATGCTCACAGGTAATACAATCCTGACACCTTGTGGCTACATTAAGCCAAATCTAAAACTGTTTTGGAGTGTATTACTTTACTGGTATTAGGAAAATACCTCTGCCTGTAGTAGTTAAAGAAATGTGACCTGGAGTTGTGGCTAGTATTGAACTAGGATCTGGAAGGCCAGGTATGAATTGCCACTTGCTAGGTGACCTTAGGCCAGTCACACAGACTATTTTTATTTATTTATTTATCCTTCCATTTGTATACCGCTCACCCCCTGAGGGCTCTGAGCGGTTCACATATTTAATCAGTACAAGTCCTAGCCTAGGACCACATACAGGGGTGTGTGTGTGTGTGACTAACCTACCAGGCACCCTTTGTAGCAAGTTGTTTTTTTGTTGTCTGCGTCCTCCTGGCACTGGTCTTGATTTACGACTTCCTGGCTATTGCGACACCTTCGAGTCTGGGCCGAGCGCACGTCCGCGCATGCTCGCTGTCGGCCTCTGTCCATCAGGTTCCGGCCTGTCACATTGCCCCGCCTCCGTGTCTGTTGGCCAGCCTCCTCTCGCTCGCCAGCTGCCACCATGCTTTTCTGCCACCGCCGCTCGTTGCTCGCTCACGCCGCCGCCGCTACACCACAAGGGACAGGTGCCCCCTCCCGCTCTAAGAGCAGGTACCCAATTTGTCTATTTACCCTTTAACGGGCTTTCGAGCCGTTGGGTGGGCGGGAGCTAGGACATAGGGCCGGGAGCTCACTCCGGCCGCGGTGGGGCTCGAACAGTCAAAGCTGCTTGGCCAGATGTAATGCAGGCTTCACTTACCGCCTGCGCCACTGCTCCCTATCCTACCTTGCAGGATTCTT